GGAGATATCTGATCCTAATCCATCAATTTGGCTAACAATGTGCGTTTCCTCACGTCGCGGTGATGACGAAGAGATGCTCGCGTATATAGTGACGTTCCACGTATCCTTCACAATTAAAAAATTTGTTACGTAGAGCAAATATAAAAGTCATAAAAGTCGTGCACGACAAACAAAGCGAAGACGGCCGGCTCACACACACGCACACACACACACAGGCACACACACACACACACACACAGACACACACACCCACACACACACACACACACACACATATGTACGTCCATATACATTCATGTAAATTCTCGCAACGTGGAACAACAAAACTGCGGCATATTATCAATCGAGGACTCGGCGCCTAGCTGACTTTCGGGGCTGTCTACCGACACGTCGCGACGTCGAAAATTACCTACGCATTTTGTTGGCCCGCCGCGATATCTACGACTTGTTATTCAAGGCTTGCCGATCGATATAGATCTTCGGGCATTTTCGGAAGTGATCCAAAGGGAATCGGAAGAGGGTCGTAGGAAGTCGGGTGTCGGCCCTCATTCGAATATTCGATCCGCAGATCTATAAACATATTTCACTGAGCAAGTCTGTCCTACGAACGCGAACATAACGAGACGTAGTGTGTGCTCGAGCCGGAACGCGTTACAAGGCGACGGCCTTAAGCGTTACAGCGTGTCCGTCCGACCACGAGTGGCCCACGACGGCATCACCTCAGGCGTTGCCTTAGGCTCAGGGTGTACGTCGCTAGGCGTTGCCACGGGTCAAAAGCAAGGCATACGCGTTAAACAAGCCCCTACGCGTTAAAGACTTCGGCAGGGCACAAGCCCCTATGCGTTCGAGTCTTCGGCAGGGCATAAACATCCCATTTTAATGCCTCTTGTGAGGTAACACTCACACATCGGATCACGCCACCCGACAGGAAGCAAAGGCCACGTACGGGAGAGGACCGCCAAGCAGCGGTATCGGCACGTGCAGCTAGCGTAAGTCGTTCGGTTTTATTAATTTGTGACGATGGCTGAACAACGAGTCAAGCTTCTCGTACAAAAACGCACGTCATTGAAAGCACAACTTACGGCTCTAGCGAATCTCCTCGACAAAGGCGGACTCGATAATGTTGCATTCAAATTACGCGTGGCTCGCTTGACGGAATTGTTCCATTCATTCGAAAATTACAATGGCGAACTCGCCATATTAGATTCTATTGCATCAGTCCGAATTCTTAAACGGCAAGAACGGTTTTATTCGATCGCGGGTAAAGCCGAGAATATTTTAAACCCAGCAGGCACGTCGAGCGTTAGCGCCGGCACGTCGAGTGACGACGTTCGCGGCGATAATATGTCGATCGGTGATGACCAGTAGAAAACGCCGCATAAAGTTGCCCGAAGCATCGTTGCCCACATTTGATGGGAAGTTCGAAGGCTGGGTTTCATTTAAAAACGCGTTCACTAGCATGATTGGATCTCAATCGGATTTATCAGACACAGACAAATTGCATTATCTAAAGTCGGCATTATAACAGGCGAGGCGGCTAACAAAATAAAGATATTCTCAAACGGAATAGAGTTTTCTGGTGCGTGGAAATTGCTTGAAAAACCCTACGAGGTCAAATGGGTTTTATTTCGGGTTTAATTTTGCGGCACCTCTCATTAATCATAAATTTGCCTGTGTTAGATAAGGAGAGCACGAGCGGTTTGATGAAGCTCGCCGATGATGCTCAACAGCATGTCGCGTCGCTGAATACTCTGGGAGTCACGATTTCTCCTGAAATGATTGTTCACATCATAGAAAGTAAATTGCCGAGAAATACGTTAGATAAATGGAAGGCGACGCTAGAGAGAGACAAATTTCCGAAGCATGAGCAAATCTATGAGTTTCTTTATAAGGCCGCGGTTTGCGCGTCGCGTCTGGAAAAGTCCAAGATGTCGGAATCAAATAATGATAAAAATGGGCCTTTGGCAAAAAAGATTGGCGAAACAGTCCGTCGAATAAAACATTCGTAGCGAGGGCGTCGCGTAGTTGCGTGGCGTGCAAAACCGAACAACACCCGCTTTATCAGTGCGAAGAATTTAAACAACTGTCTGTAGACCAACGTCTGTAGATCACGCGTTAAAATGGTGAAGAACGCCGAGATTGTGCTACAATTGCCTGCGCTCGCATCGTGGAACGCCTTGCAATTTTCGGGCTGTACTATATGTCGAAAACGCCATAACACCCTTTTGCATTCCGAGAAATACGCGAAAGCGCTCGATATTTCGGAAAACGAGAACCTCCCCATTCTAAGTGACTATACGAACCGTCCGTCGAGAACGTTACGAGCTTAGCGACAATGTCCCGTTTTGCGCCGCAAATTTTTAATCAATGCGATAGTTTACATTCGATATCGTAGACGCAACGTCGTGAAATGTCGAGCATTGCTGCACTGAGAGAAAAGATATACTACAATTTAACAAAAACAGAGAATTATTCACAAAAGTCAAGTTTTATTCTAAAATTTTGTTAAAATAGCAAAATATATAATTAAATAAGAGATCGGAAGAGCACACG